CTCAGCGTGCCACTTATAGAGATGACCACGTTTGACGATGGAATCCTGGGAGAGAGATGGAGGGAGGGGGGTGAAAGAGACGTGAGGGAGGAAGATCGAGGGAAAGCGGGCACACGCAACTCGGCCGGCGGGAGGAGGAAGAGAGATGAAGGAGGGAGGAGGAAAATAGATAGAGGGAGGAGGAGGAAGAGAAATAAAGGGGAACAAAGGAAACAGAAAAGGTTTTCTTACTCCAAGTCTAATGCATGCAGTTCAAAGCAAGAAATTCCCCCTCCCTCCCTCCCTCCCTCCCTTCCTCCCTCCCTTCCTCCCTCGTACCTGCTGAAGCTTGCTATACAGGGCCAAGACCTCTGTGGTTTCGGCAAGGAGGGCCCGGTTCTCTTCCTTCACGCTTTGTAGATCGTCCAAATCCTTGAGCTCGGGGGCCGCCGCCTCTACAAAGGCGGGGAAAGTGACTCGCACGAGGTCCAGGTACGCCCGCATCGCCTGCTCTTCCGTCAAGCCGCTGGCTAATTTCCAGGAATTGTACCTGTACAGGCAGGGAGGAGGCGGGGCAGGGGAAGATGGAGGGCATATGCATGAGGAGAAAAGAGGGTTTGAAGGCACGAGGCAGGCCTCTCGCCGCGTCCACCTTGCCTCCCTTCCTTTCCCTTTTCCCCTCCCCCTCTACCTCTCTCTCGCGATGGGCTCCACCAGCATGGTGGGCACACGCACGTTGCACGCCCCGGCTGTCGACCGCTTGTACAGCCCGTAGAGCTGTGACAAGGTGGGTGTACCGAGAAGGAACCATTGAGCTTTATACATGCATGAAGTAGGCCTCATTTTTTTTACGTGCCAACCGTGGCGACCCTTCTTTCTACTTTCCAGTCCTGCATTCTTTCCCTCTCACTTTATAAACCCGGCTTTCACCATCTCTCCACGTATTTGAGCGTATCACATACCCGAAAGAGGACGCTATTGGGCGCATTTGCTTCTTTGTGATGTTCCTTAACCCACTTGGCTGCGAGCTGAGGCAAGATCGACCAAGCGATACGTTTCAAGAGAATATGAGATAGGCTGATAGAATGATAATAAATGACGGGCGAATACGTACAGTGAAAGCGTTTCGAAGCTTGCTGGTCACCACCATGCTTATTGGCTACCAGTACGGTATGGTCGTGGTGTGTAAATAATTCACGCAGACAGGGTGTCCTGGCACCCGGAAGCGTGGGAGCGATAGCTACGATGGGAAGGGGACTCGGGTTATGTGCCTTATGCACGGTCGTCGGTGCCCGTGGTCCTACCCTGTGCAATATAGACGTGAGCGTGCGGATTGAAAATACCGCCAGGCTGGTGTATATGGTGGTTTTGTCAACTTCCGTTGGGGGCACTTGCTGGGAATCGATCGCTCGCTCTCGCCGCAGCCTCGCACTATGGGCCAAAAGGCAAGCGAAGGGTGAAAAAACGAAGAAAAACACGAATAAAAAAGACGCTCGTCCTCGCCTTGTGATACAACAAATAAATGAAATAAGCAGTTGAGCAAAGATGTAGCAAATGAAAAAATCGTTTTCGACTTTTTTCGTGCTTCTCGGGTCGGGAACACTTTTTTTCCCTTCCAATTCAGGCGTCAATGCTAGCCACGACGGTACACAGGCTCTCGGTGCATCGTGAGCGAGTCTCATACATTCAAACCGTGCTGACAGTGCTCCATTCCAAAAAAGGATGGTTAAAGCGTGCCTGCACCCGACATCAAGCACACATGGCCGAAGTCCTAATGGGCCAAGCATGGCGTTTCCGATCCTCAACGCGTTTCTCAGCATATTCCACAGCACTGGAGCTTTTTCTGAAAGTGAAGGCAGGAAACAGTGAAAAGATACAGGTATACACACATGTTAATACAGATTTCAGGCGCAAAGACAGGTAAAATACGTGGGCGACGAGGAAAGGCTCTGCCTGCCTCAGTCCCTTATCAGAGATGTGCTCCTCCCCACCTACCTTCCACTCTGTCTCTCCTCCTCCCGCTTCGATTTCCATGCTGCTAGTCACCGTATTTCCCGCGCACGTGGGCATCACATCGCTTCCACCCACCTGTGCCGCGGGCGGCGTAAGGAAGGGAGGAGAGGGGCCAGAAGGAAAAGGGCCGTTCGTGAGTCAGCCTGTCAACATGAATCTGAATACTAGAGCGGGAGCCCTTACACGAACAGGCACAGAATGCCATATTTTCCACTCCCTGAAAACCAAAGTCCTTTCCATCCCTCCCTAACCCATCGCGCATCTGCATCCCTCCATCCTTTTCCTTTTCGCTTCTGAAAAGCGACTGATGGAGCGCTCCCCTATTTTCTTACATCTGATGCTTTCTTTCCTTCCTTGTCATTTTCCATCCCCCTCCATCTTCTTGCTCTCCCCACCACGAACATCTCCACTTTCTGCC